TGAGATAAGGGTATTGGTTCATTTTTCTGCAGGTAAATATCCATTTTTTCCAGCACCATTTCTTGAAGAGGGCATCTGCTTCCCATTTGATATTTTTTGGGCCCTTATCAAGGATCAGTTGTCTGTATGCTGATGATTTTATTTCTGGGTTTTCAGTTCTTTTCCATTGATCTGAGTATCTGTCATTATACCAATACAATGCCGTTTTGACTACTGTGACCATATAATACTGTGCTAAAGTCAAGTAAAGCAAGCCCTCCCACCCTGTTCTTCTTCTTGAGGAGTTCTCTGCTAATTCTGGGATTCTTCCCTCATCATATGAACTTTGTAATCAGTTTTTCCATTTCCTTGAAGAAAGATGAGGGTAATTGTATCGGGATTGCATTAAACTTATATAGTGCCTTGGACAGAACTGACATCTTTACTATATTGAGTCTTCCAATCCACGAGCATGGAATATTTTTCCATTTGTTGAAGTCACTCTTGGTTTCTTGTAATAGTGTTCTGTAGTTTTCCTTATATAAATCTTTTGTTCTTTTAGTCAGGTAGATCCCTAGATACTTCCATTTGTGCTTGACTATTTTGAAGGGTAGCACCTTTTTTAGGCCCTCTTCTGTGGTCTTATCTGATGTGTATAGCAGTTGATAGACTTCTGTTTGTTAATCTTATATCCTGCCACTCTGCCATATTCCTCAATTGCTTCCAGTACTCCCTTTGTGAAGCTTTTGGGATTTTCCATATATAAAATCATATCATCTGTGAATAATGATAATTTCATCTCTTCCTTCCCCAGGTGAATATCTTTAATGTCTTTTTTTTTTTGTCTTATGCTGTATGCTTATGCTAAAGCCTACATTATGATTTGACTCTGTTTTATAAGATTACTCATATATAGGGTTGCTTTGGGGGCACTATGAGTCGAAATCTACTCATTGGCAATGAGTCTGGTTTGGGGAGTTTACAAACCCAAAGCCACTGTCATTCAATTCCAACTCATAGCAACCCTGCATAGAATTTTCAAAGCTATAAATCTTTATAGAAACAGTTTTCCCCCAATTTTCTCCCGTAGAGCTGCTGGAGGGCTTGAACTACCTCCCTTGCAGTTAACAGCCTAATACTATGCCAACAGCACCACCAGTTAATGTACTTGGAATGAATTTTACGTTGCCATACCGGATGGTCCCTGACCAGTGGTGCATATTCAGCAGTGACTTATAACAGTGCTAAATTTTATGTCATTGGGTTTCTACCTTTTTACTCTCGGCACTCCTGTTGTCTCCCTTTTTTTTCAAGTCTACTTACATGTCTCTAGTTGACATGTAAGAGCAGCATCTGTACACAGAGGAGTGAGCTTTCCAAGGTGATTGCTGTGGCTCACTGAGTACAGCTCTCCCCTGGGGACTTTGTGCATTAACTCTTTGGGACACAAAGGCACCCCTCAGACTCTTGCTCAACCGCTGGAAAGAGCAGATGACATTTCGAAGCATAAAATGCCATTGCTAAACAGAAAGAAATGCAGGTCTTGTCTAAGCAGAAACTACACACAGGGATCTCATCAGAATGGCCCCGATTCTTCTACTCATTCAACAAATATTGATGGAGTGCCCACAGTGTGCCAAATTCTAAATCAAAAATTGCTAAAATCCCCACACCTACCCAGGTGAACAGGGAAGGGAAACTATTTAGAGACATTTGAGATTCCTTGGAAGACTGAATATGGTACTAACATTAGGGTGTAATGATAAAGTTAAAATTCAACGAGCCTGCCTGAGTCAGAAAGGAGACTTGTGCCCCACTGATGTTCCACACACACTGGGACATCTGCCAGACTGGTTGACTTGCTGTTTCCAGGGCACCTTGCTCTTTTCAGCTTCCACTCCCTGACCTTACCTTTCTCTGGAATGTCACCCCACCCTCCCTCCCTCCGGTCCTCCCACCCTTCCTCCCACTCTCCCTCCCTTCCTGTCTCCCTCCCCCACACACCAACCTCTGCTGGACTTACCCAAACCAAACACATCCAACCTTGAAAACTCTATGCTGAATGAATTAAGTCAGCCACAAAAGGACACACACACACACTCACACACATTTATGTGAAATATTCTCCTGAAACATTCTCTATTTGTGTGAAACATGCTCTATTTATGTGCAATAGAACAGGCAAGTATAAAGAGACTGAAGTTAATTATTAGTGGTTACCAAAACTGAGTGGGAAGGAAGTTGATGCTTAAGGGACTCTGGGCTTCTATTAGGGGTGGTGGAAGAATTAGGGAATGGTTAATGATGGTGGTTGAAGAAGCCTGGTGAATATATGTAATGTCACTGCTCTATATCTGTAAAGATAATAGAAACAGCAAATGCTTGCTAGCTACATATTTATCACAATAAAAAAAATCCAATATTTAAAAATCTGATTTAAAATGTAAGTGGGCGGTGAATAAAAAACAAATGTATATTCTGCAAGGATTACCTCTTTCCCCTCAGGCCTCCCCCAGTACTCAGAGTCTTCCTACCTGTATTGTAACTAACGTGTATGTGGAGATCCATCTTTCCCACCAAGGTATAATGCCCTATAATATAATAATGTTCCATACATATTTTTGTTTTCCACTAAACAAAATGTATCACTGAATACATTCAAATTTAGAGCCTGAGTGTATGGAAGAATGTAATTGATGAAAAATGCTGTGACATTTTCTCAAAGCATTTCAAGTAGAGAATCCAAGCACTCACCATGGTGTACCTTCCAGAGAATTCTCTGGGCAGCAAGAAGCCCACCTTGTGCTCTGCTTGGCACTAAGCCTGGTCAATCATTTCTTGGGATCGTTCCCATTTTTTCTTTGGGATCTTTTTTAGGAGGAAGTTTTGAGGCTTTGGAGTCCCACAGACCAAAGCTTGCAGCCCAGCTCTGCCATGTACTGGCTCTCTGATCCTGGGCAACTTAACAGCACAAACTCTAGTTTCATGTGCAAGCCTCATTAATTTTCTTTTTCTACTAAATCGGATTTTTACGAGACTCCCTCTCACATACTTTGAACATGTTATCAAGCGGCTCCAGTCCCGGGAGAAGGACATCCTGCTTGGCAAAGGGGAGGGTCACCAAAAAAAAAGGAAGTCCCGCAAGGAGATGGCAGCAGTGAACTCAAAGCTAGCAACAGTTTTGAGGATGGTGCGGTACCAGGCAGTGATTCCTGAGGTTGCTGTGAATGCTGACTGGAAGACACCAAGCAACATGTAAAGGGTGGGACTCATACGGGGAACTAAATTGATCCCCTCTTTCTCTCCTCACATTCACTTCTAGGACAGGACATTATTTATTTTGCCAACTAATTTTTGAGCGATGCAATAATGTTTATTAGCAGCAGCCTACAGTTCTCATATGAACCAACCACCAATGCTGACCCTAAGTTGACCCTTTGGGTCTCAGTGTGAAATGCCTAAGGGTGATAAGGGACCCTCAATATAGCTCACAGCTCCATGGTGCTTGCGCCCTCCCCAGTCATCCCAAGCCTGTGTTTTATGTCCTTGCATAAAGGTGACTGACTTTGCCAAGTTTCGGTTCATCCCTCAGAGAAGTGCAGGCTATACACTCACGTCTTTAGGAACTCCTGGGAGACACAAGACAGACTCCAGTAGGCTTTGTTTTTACGGAGTTTCTTGTTGTTCTTAGGTGACGTCAAGCCGTTCTGACTCATCGCGACCCTGGGTGCACCAGCACGAAACCCCTCCCAGGGCTGCGCCCCCGCACACGTGTTCTTATGGCTGCAGCCATAAGCCCTCTGATCAAAGGTTTTCCTCTTTTTTGGCTCACCCACTGTTTTACTAAGAATGATGTCTTTCCCCGGGGACTGGTTCCTCCTGATAACATGCCCACGTTGGGAGACTCACCATCATTGTTTCTAAGGACTCCTCTGGCTCTAATTCTTCCAAAACAGATTTGTTTGTGCTTTCGGCCTTGGCACTTTCAATATTTTCGCCAGCACTGTGAGTCAAGTGCATCGACTCTTCTTCAGTTCCTGATTCAATTACTGAGCTTAATAACCAGATTCCCTCCACTGCTAGGTAACCGCATGACTTTGGTTCAGTTGGGTTGGAATAAGAAGTACTACACCGTCACGTGATGTAATCATGCTATGGAAGTTGTAGCAGCAGTGTTCACCTATTCTTACTAAGCTGTGGTGTTCTCAATTGTGTCTTCAGCTTGCGAGAAATCCTGAAGATGGTTAAAGACGACTCTACTGTCCGTTGCTTCCAAGGCCTGCTGATTTTTGGACACGTGATTGTTGGTGTAAGTCAAGCGTGTTTTTCAAGGGTTTTTGCTCTTCCTGTAATCAAGACTTTAGATGGCTCCAAAGTCGAAATTTAAAGAGGGAATAATGACATAATTATTGGCTGCCTGCATTTTTTGCCTCTAAGAAATACATTAGTCAAATGTGCTAGTTAGAATTTAACTACATAAATAATTACATATAATTATGTAAGGTATCAAAATATCATGGTTGAAAAAAAAAGTAATTATTTCTCTCTCATCTTCCAAATGCAGAAATCGGTGTCCACAGGCCTACACTTTAAATCCTCTTCCCTGTTGCCCCTTAGTTTGATTTCCAGAGAGCATAGTGGTCATGTGGTGGGCTGCAGATGAACAGTTTGGAACCACCGGCCATTCCATAGGAGAAAGACTGGGCTTTCTCCTCCAGAGTCACTGTCTCAGAAACCCAGGGGGGCAATTCTATCCTACAGGCTCACAATGAGTCGGAATTGAGTCAATGGCAGGGATGGAGCTTGAAGTTCTGCTGTTGAGTTTGCAGGGGACAGAGCTTTGCATCTTCTTGGCTTCATCATCCGAAGGAGAGCATCAGAAAATGAGAGTGGCTCAAGGGTCAAGTGGTGACAGCATGGTAGGCTGGGAGGAGTACTCGCTAGGAGTCAGGGTATCTGGTTCTTGGCCAAACTCTGCCTCTCACTCCCTGTGTTGACTCTGGACAAGGCCAAGAGTCCTAACCTCTAGAATACAGAGGTTGCGAAAAATAATTGCCAAAGTTCCTTCTAGCTTGAACGTTCAATGGGTCTCTGGCCCTGATAAGTAGGACGCGAACCAGTTCCCCTGCTACAATCCAGGGGTTTGGGAGATGGGGCAGTAGACACGGAATAAGGCAATTCCCTTCATACAAAAAGCTATTTGAATGGTTCATATCCCAAGGACATGATAGTCTGATATTATCTGAGTCTTTTCCCAGAAGCAGGAAGACAGAGCAACAAAGGAAGGATGGAAGAAGCTATTTGATAGCCTGGCAATGAGGAATTTGCCAGTTGCTAAAGGCCTATGCAGGATAGGGAAGTGGGCTCTTTCACCCATGCCATATCACCCATGCCAGACTTTCCCGAGTCTGTGATCAGGGCAGTCACATTGACCGATTCACTCTGTCCCCAGATGTGTGGCATCGCCCTGACGGCAGAGTGCATCTTTTTTGTGTCTGACCAGCACAGCCTCTACCCACTGCTTGAAGCCACCGACAATGACGACATCTTTGGGGCCGCCTGGATCGGCATGTTTGTTGGCATCTGCCTCTTCTGCCTGTCTGTCCTGGGCATCGTGGGCATCATGAAGTCCAGCAGGAAAATTCTTCTGGCGGTAAGACCTGCACGCTCTTCCCAGTTGTCCTCCAGACCAATGCTGATGGATGGCTTCTCCTTCATTGAACACAATGTTTTGACTTTCAGGGGGCAGGTGGAAACAGAATATGGGGTCAGGAGTGAGGAGGAGGGTGAGGCTCTACAGACATGCCCTCCAGGGCTGCAAGCCCTGAAGAAACCAAACAGGTCGACCCTGTTGAGTGCTTTCCAGATCTGTACTGTACTTCTCAAATGGGTGTATCTATGTGCCTGGTGGTGGACTCTAAGCTACATAGGCCAAAAGGAGAGATGGTTGAAAACTTGTTCATAAGATTTTTTTTCTAATTGATCACCTGATTTTCTCTTGCTATTGATGTTGTACATTGCCACCTAGTTGGCTCTGAATCACCGTGACTCAGAATACCACAGTACAACACACTGCGTGATCATGTACCTTCCTCGCAACCAGTAGTGCGTTGTAGCCCATAGTGGTGACCACTGCTAACCACAATAGTGTTGTGACTGCCTTCCAACCTAGTAGCTCATCTTCCAGCACTAAATCAGATACTATTCTGCTGTGATCCATCAGACCAATTGGCGAATTTTCATTGTAGTAGAGAGCCTTAGACTTGAAGCACCACTGAAGCCTCTCTACCTCAGGTGGCCCTGCTGATATTTGAAAGACCAGTGGCATCATTCCCAGCCTCACAACAACGCACAAATGACCACAGTATACCTGATTGACAGAGGAGTGACAAGGAGTTTAAAAGATTATTTTAATATTAATTGGGCACTGATATATCAGATTACAACAAAATGTGCGTGCATTCCATAAGACAAATCATGAGCCTTTTCAGAGAGATTAAGCTTAAGGCTAAGGACCTTGTGCAATGGCCTACACATTCTCTGCCATTCAAGGATCCTGGGGTAGAAAACCCTGAGAAAGCACCACTGTCGCACACAGCTCCACTTCTCACCTCCCCGAGGAGGCTCTCCCTCTGCACCCACAGAGAAAAAGATCATGCCCTGAGCCAGCTGAGCCAGCCGAGCTAAGAAACCTCCGTGTTGGGACTGGACAGCTCCTCTCTGCCCCCTTGCTCAGAACTGTAGTTTCTCACACTGTCCTGAGAAACCAAACAAACCCTCACTCCCATTCCCACCCCTGAAAGGGCTCCCCTACTCAAGGACCTGAGTCCTACTTTTAAAAAACAAGTCCAGCAACTTCAAGGGCCTGTCAGTGGACCTTTGTCCTGGTACCCTGGGAATGCAGAACAGGAACATTCTCCGGCTCTTAGTGTGCGCTCATCATCCGACTGCTTTGAAGTGGAACTGCACCCACTTTTGGAGGGTGGGGACCAGAATGCAGCCAAAAGGAATGCGGTGAAAGAGATGAGGAGAGTCGGAGGTCCCTAAAAACAACCTTCACTCGCGTCTCAGTCTCACTGTGGGCCCACCAGGACTGACGTGTTCTAGGCTATTTCCCACCATGCACTGTGCGTCCTTTCTAGAGTGTTGCCAAGGGGCTTCGTTCACCAAAGCTCTCCATAGCATCTGCGATAGGGTTAACAATGAGATGCTCCCGCGGTTCACACTCGGGTCAAAGTCTCTCCTGCTCAGACATGGTCCCCTCACCGAGAGAAGGCGAGCAGACAGTGACTGAAGTTCTTCTCTCAAACAAGGACCCAAAAGTGAGGAAGACCACGTGAGAACTCCAAATATTTGCCATCCTGAAACTGGAGCAGTGTCCCATGGAAGCACATGCACATGCGCACACTCATGCACACAAACGCACACCCCAACTTCAACAACACCAACTATGTGACACACGGTGAATTCTGTTTCAGCCATTGATCCCATGGAAATATCTGGAGTGGGTTGTATGTGAGTGAAGACAGTGATTAGCTAGTGCACCCTGACAGTGTAGTGGGTTATGTGTTAGGCTACTGACCATTAGGCCAGTGATACGAAGCTTACAGCCACTCAGAGTACTGACTTAGAGTCTCTAAAATCTACAGAGGAAGTTCTATTCTGTCTTATAGGGACATTGTGAGTTGGAATCAACTCCATGTTAGTGAGCTTGGTTTGGGTGTTTGGAGCTGAGGGCTCGAAGGCTGTCTGTTCCTCTATGATGATACTAGAAAATTCAGCCCAGTTCAGCATTTCCTGATCTCTGTCATCCTAAATCTTCAGCAAGCCAGAAAGAACATTTCCCCTCTTAGAAGGGAGCTACGAGGCGCTGCATAGAGTCTGGTCACGAAAACGCTTACCCCTTATCAAGCACACACTCACACGCACACCCACACATCAGTTCATTCCCTTGTAGTTGTCTTTCCCATTTAAAACAGAAATTCAGAAATCTAGACTGAGAAAGCTCTGTTTTCTATGGTCATCTCTGAGGAAATGAAGAGAACTGAATGGTTATGCCTCTTATACCAATTCTAGCTCCAAACAACTTATCGATGAGGGTTTGTTGAATAACTACATGCATGATTAGATAATTCTATGTAATGATACTTATATTTATTATATGCTAAAAATGTAATGATCATTTGTAGGGGAGCCTCTCTGAGGGTAAATGCAATTCTTGTTGTTTGTTTTCTTGCAGTATTTCATTCTGATGTTTATAGTCTATGGTTTTGAGGTGGCATCTTGTATCACAGCGGCAACACAACGAGACTTTGTAAGTATATTCTCAAAAAACACCAAGCACAAATGTTAATGAGTCATCACTATCATAAGAAGCAAGTAATAAAATAGTTGATGTGCATTAAGTCCTCACTATGTGTCAGGTACCAGCTCTCTGGTGGGGCAATGGTTTCCAATTGCCTGCTAGGCAAAAGTTCAACTATTTTCTTCTGTGAGACAAAGATGTAGCAGTCCACTTCTGTAACAATTAAAGCCTGAGAAATGCCATAGCACAGTTCTACTCTGCCCTACAGGGTCACTAAGAGTGGAGTAGAGTCAAGTCTAATTGACTTGGTGGCACCTGGTTTGGTTTATGTGTCAGGTACACTTATTATATATAATTTCATTTAAGCCTCATAGTAACCCTGTGAAATAGGTAGTATCACAAAAATATCTGAGACTTAAAAAGGCAAGGTAACGTGTCTGAAGTTACTCAGGTGATCAGTGAAAGAGCAAGAATCCTCAGTCCAAGCAGCATGACCCCTGGGACTCAAGAATAAGCATAGGTGTGTATATATGTAAATGCGTTTGCTCGTAAAAATAGAGGTATGGGCCTGTATACATATACTTATACATATACATATACTGAGGTAGTGTACAGACTTTGGGGCCTCTGCTCATGCCCTCCCTCAATGCAAGAACACTTTGTTCTAACAACCTG